CAGCGTTTTTCAACTTAACACATTTTTTTCTGTGACGGAAAAAACGACGATTTAATATTGAAAAATTATATTGTTACAATATTTAAATCAGAAAATTATCGATGTGAAATTTGAATTTTGAAATTAGTAGGCTATGACAATCAAACAATGAGTTGCTAAGAATACTTTTAAAGTTATCAAATAGCTGTCAAGTTAATCTTGTGATTTGATTTAAAAATTGTGAAATTAGTGGTCGTTTAGAAGTTATTCTCAATACTATAAAGTAAAAAATGTCTGATTCCGAGTTTTCTTTGACTCCACCGGAATTAGTAGAGATAGCCGAAATTATTGCCAGCTAAATATGTGTTTATACAATATCCGGGAAAAAAGGAGTATTTTTTTTTCCCGGAGGAAAAAGTAATTTCATAAAAAGTGACATTTTGTTACCTGTCAACAGAGATGAAATGTCAAACTTTTATCCCGTCACAGAATAAAGTGTTTTTTATTTTTTGAGGAGAAAAAAAGTTGTACTTTTAGCTGCTTAATTCGATAAAAGTAAAAAAGTTGAAAAAGGCCAAATTTTTTGTCAAAGATACTAGTTAGGGTGTTTTCCGGGACGCCACTGGACTTGATAATTTCAATCCAATTGGGGCTAAATTACTGCCCTTGTACCAGTGCTTAATTTAAACAAAATCGATTGAAAATCTTTTAAGACATTTAGGAAAAAAGTGTGACACCCTGTATCTTGAAAATGAAGCATTTCTGGACGCTTGCATGAACTTTTCATCTTCAAATTACTCAAAGAATGACCTCCTGAAGTTTGGCCGCGTTCTTGAATAACACCCTGTATAATTGCTTTGTACACCCAACTAACAATTATCACTCATATTAGAGTTGCAAGAATGATTATACAGTATTCCTTAAACAGCATTGTATACTGTAAGAACATTGGCAAAACCCTCTTAGAACAGCTATACAAGCGGAACGGGCACACCTAATAGGACACTTCAGTCATTTAAGAGGTTGTAGGTAACAGTTATAAAACAAAAGTGTAAGCCTCTTGCAGCCGCTATAGGATATTTGCGTCAGTGCAAGATTCAGTTTTTGTCAACTATAGTCAACGCCAAACAAAGTGGCGTGCACGTCATCACGATAAAAATTCCCCGACCTAATGCCTAGGTTTCTATCACAAACAATTGCTCTATTGCAGTTTCATATTAATGTGATATATAAATTGTAAAATGGTCATTACTCTCTTATTATGGTTAATAGTCATATAAACATTGTTATTAAAATATCACATAAGTTGCTTTCTGATAAATTTAGACGCATTATGCGAAATAAAATGTTTTGCAAACGCTCCAATCACTTATCGACATGTAAACGCACTAAACCGATTTCGCAGCGTTGACACATTGTCACCTTGAAACTTATTTAAACTGGGAACTGACATTTGTATTAATTTTGACACTGAATCAATTTGTGGCATTTCAAATCTTTATAAATCCTTTGGCCCCGCATACTGTAAATCAACAACTGTTTGTTTCAAAACAAAATTATTCATTTTACGAGTAGATAAAGGCAATTTTGGTATATAAAGATGCCCAAACAGTTAAATAGTCGGTGTAAGGAACTCGTGGCCTCGTTAATGCACTACTTTGAGCAAGAAAGGGACAACAACGGGCCTTTGTTGCCTTTAAATGCTGTTCAAGAGGTAGGTTACTAATAATTATATGTAATGTATATTAATAATAGTGAAATTTTATTTCATTTTTTGTAGCGTGTTGCTGCTGCTTTAAAAATTAGTTTAAGGACAGTTAGTCGTATTTCCGAGGGTGTGAAAAGTGATGCAAATTTAGAATCGCCCAAGAAAAAGCGGAGTTATATTAAACGTGTAACCAACACAGCGACATTGGATACAAGTGCCATTCGAGAAGTGATCAATAATATGTATCACAAAAGTAAGATCTTATTATAATAACTTATCAGAAATTTGCATTAATTTGTTAACTAAATTATAATGTCATATTACACATGGTTTCAGAAGAACAAGTTACGATACAAACTTTATGGTCTCGATTAAGAGATAGGGCATTATTTGGTGGTAGTGCCACGTCTTTAAGGCGGTTGCTTAGAGATCTTGGATTTAAGTGGCTTAAGGACAATCCGCGACGAGGGCTCATGGAACTACCAAGTATAGCTTTGAAAAGGGTGGAATTTCTAAGGCAATACAATCAAGCCAAGGTTGAGGCCTTATACCAGTTTGTCTTCCTCGATGAAACTTGGATATTTCAAAATGGGACCATAGGTCGCTCTTGGCAAAATGGAAACCAAAAAAGCGTGAAAGCTATTAAAACAGATGGTAAAAGGTATGTACTTTTACACAATTTGCACTATAAAATTTAAAACTAATATATTTTAGATACATTATATTACATGCTGGAAATGAAAATGGGTTTATTGAGAGTAGTGAAGCGATATTTTCTTCGAAAACAAAATTGAGCGATTACCATGGAGAGATGAACCAGGACAATTTTTTGAAATGGTTTCAACATCAGTTATTAGAAAAATTGGAGAGTCCATCTATGATTATACTGGATAACGCCCCTTATCACAGCATGATATTGAACAAAGTGCCCAACAATGCATGGACAAAAAAAAATATCCAAGACTGGTTGACAAATCAAAACATACCATTTTTAAACACAATGTTTAAAACAGAGCTATTGAGTATTGTTGCTCGGTACATAATGCTTCTTAATTATATATATTTTGGTCGACAGTTTATATTTCTTTTGTTTATTCCTATTCTTAAAATAACTGCTTTTTTAGAAACAAACCACCTAAAATATACGTGATTGATGAATTGGCGGAACAACATGGGCACAAAGTTCTTCGTCTGCCTCCTTACCATTGTATATTTAACCCTATTGAGTTAATTTGGGGCATAGCAAAAGGTTACTATAACATACATATTGGTAGAGATGGTAACAGTGAAAAAGACTGTTTGGATATGTGGAACGAGGCTCTACAAACGGTTACCCCAGACATGTGGAAAAATAGTGTTCGACATACTGAGCAAGAAATTTTTAAATGATATGAAAGAGAACGAATTTTTGATCGACCAGACATCGAACCTTTAATAATCAACTTTGAGAGTGATGAAGATTCAGATTCAGACAGCGCTGAAGAAAGAAACTCCGACTAACTTTATTGTACAGAAAAAGCTTACATCAGTAGCTTACCTAATTTTAGAATGCATTTTTCTGTATGAATTCTGTAAAATAAATACCATGGATAAAATTTGGAGGACCCCATTTGGATTTTTATTCAGTACCTTTAAGCTATCAATTAAATATGGTAGTTTCATAGTGTCATCTGATCAATAATTGTCATACTTAATGATTATGCAAGTACAGATCTATAATTTTATTATACTACTATTTTTGTTCTCATTTGAGGTTAATATTGCTTATAAACCTAGATATGTAAATAATAAATTTTATTATTTTACAAAAAGTTTGGCAACAATGTAAATTTTTCAACACACCCACCTTGATGACGTGCACGCCACTTTGTTTGGCGTTGACTATATACAACTATTCTGTTATGTGATTCTACTTTAGTGCAACCAAACTATTTCTTATGTATTGTATAGACGAAGTGAAGAATATATAACTAACACATTACAGTCATCTTGTTTACTTACATATTGGCCATTGTGAATTTCATACACAGGTATATGATAAACTTCTACACTGTGATATAGGACTATTGAATTACACAGCAAATTTTATTGTGATTATCGTGCAAATTAGTTACCCAAGTTCTACGGGCGTCGTATTTGCTTGTCTTAAAACATTGGTTATGGCATTTTAACAAAAATATGACAGCAGAATGTTTGGTTATGGTGAAGTTGTTTGCCCACATTTTAAGCATATGTACAGCCTTTAACAGTTACTAAACAACAGTTGTATAAGTGGTTCCGTTGGTAAATAGCACAGCAAAACAACAAGGCTCGGGATTGTTGTATAAACGTTACCATGGATTCCACATCACAACTTGCAAATATGCCGTATAAAATAGTTGTATAAACGTTTATGCAACAGTTAAAAATTTGCCCTATAACGTGTTGTATAACTATGCTATAAGAATATTTTAAACACCTCATTTTAGAGCAAATATGTTGCAGAAAGCAAATTTGCATTCCACACAACATTAAGCCAGCATTTTGGTGTTCAGGCAACAACAATAGAGAGATTTTATGGCTGAACGGTTCTTTTACCAAAAGCTTATACCAGTACTTTGCTAGTTGGGCAGTTTATTACACTTCCAGATATTCTGGTCTATTATATCAACAAGGATTGCTAATAAAACAATATACTTCCTGGAATTCATTTATTTCGTGTCTATGTTTCTCGGGGACAAACTACAAGGCACTAAGTGATAGATAGAAGAGTATAATCAGTGCTTAAATGGTAAATTAGACAAAAATGAATCTATACAAAATACACTTTCGAAAAATTGTACAATATACCCTTTCCAGAGAGTTGTCATAAAACGGACATGGTGCATTCGAATCAAGTTGATATATAACGTCTTAACATACAAGTGTGATTTGACTCCGTTTACATAATATGATAAAATATCCAAGAATCACAACGACGAATATGAAAAAGATTAAACTATTTACATCAAGTCTTATAAAATTATCACGATATATTTTGATGTATCGTCCGAAAGTTCAACAGCACCTTGGACCATCCATAATGATATTCCTCCAAAGCTTGTAGTACAATTGACATGTCAACAATATGTTGAGTTGCAACGACATTTATCATTACCGGTAAAATTTATGAAACAACGCAGTAATGGCATTTTAGACTGTAGGCCAAGTCACAAAACAATTGACATACATTACATATCACTAATATAGTGCGTACGTTTGGTTGATATCATATGATCCAAGATTGTGAATATTGCCAACAAATTCGATAAGAGTCCGTATTCACTAATCAAACCTATCGGTTCAAACCGAACGTATATTGCATGCTACACCCGCAAGATTTACTGTACATCTTTGAGTTCTTCGGTATCCTCTGTGTCGGTAAACCAGAAAGTCCTTTCGCGTACGTATACGACACCGGCTGCCTCAGTATTCTCTTCGGCGGCGGTTTCTTCGTCTTCCTTTTTTCTTTCGCCTCGTGACAACTCTGCGATCTCGTACTCGTGCTCACGTTCAGATTCTGGAAAGCTCTCCTGATGCTCTCAGCTGACGTCGAATGATGATGCCTACTTCTAACTTGGATATCACTACCAGCCTCACTGGAACTGCTCGACATGTGGTTCGGTGATGCGGACCTGAACCCCGAGTCGCTGGAGGTCTGTTGCTTCTTGTCTCTTCCGACTGAAGTCGAAGAACACGAGTCCGAACTGGACGATCTGCTGTCGGGGTCTTCGACGAACTGGAAATCTTCGTTACTCCTCCTGGCGAGCTTTCTACCGATCGCTCGGAAGAGCCTGATGCCCTTGGTTTCCCTCAAAGGCGAAGGCGACCGGCTTTCGGGTGATGCGATACGGAGCAGGAACAAGTTGTTTTCCGCGCGAGGCATTACGGAGTTCATTGCGTCGCGTTTCGGACCGATCGTAGAGCGGAGTTTAACTGAAGTTGCCGGCTGTTTACGCGCGTACTTATAGGGCACGGGAACGTCGACGAATGCGCAAGCTCTGAGGTTCGGAGCGGTGGGAACACGTGAAATTTCGACGGGGCCTTGCGGCGCGCAGGGACATACGGTGTTTTCTCATTGAGAAGTTTCGGATTCGACCAGGCCATCTGGACTTTCCGAAAACGGTATAATCGGAGTTTTCACAGGCTGTCCGATATGTGACCGATCATTCGAATTTGCGATACTATATTGAAAATTAGAATTTTTCTTGATATCGCAAATTATCGCTCAATATCATTACTTTCTGTGCTCAGCAAAATATACTAAGTGACATATAAATCCGAACACCCAGTTTAAATGGTTTTATTTTAATAAAAGTTGGTGAATGTATTTATCTTACTGTAAATAACAAGTGAAAAAATTTTCAGCCTTATCAGTTGGATATTCCGGTTTTTATACTGCTTTTTTTTAATCCACTAACGCGCTAAAAATGAATATTTCAGCCGCAGTAAAGAATCGACGTTGGCGGATTTTGGTTCTTGACATCCTTTACGATCGTCAACTTAGTGAGTTTGATAGGAGCCGTATAGTGGGACTTCGGGAAGCTGGACTTTCTTTTCGGGCAATTGCTGTTAGAGTGCAAAGAAGTGTAGACACTGTGGTTAGGTGTTGTCAGGCATGGCTTCGAGAAGGCCGTACGCAAAGAGCAAGGGGCACTGGACGCCGCCGTAGAACAACAGACCGTGAAGATCGCCGCCTAAGATTATTGGCCTTAAGGGACCGTTTCTCCACTACCAGATCCATTGCAAATGAATGGTTTGCAGAACACGGAAGACCTATTGGCATGCGAAGCGTTTACCTTTAACTCGAGAACACCGACGTAATCGCCTTGAGTGGTGCAGACAACGGTCACTCTGGGATCAGGAATGGAACAGTATTATCTTTAGTGACGAGTCACGATTTTGTTTAGGCATGTACGACGGTCGTGCAAGGGTTAGAAGGCGACGTGGTGAAAGGAGGAATCCACAGTTTTTTGTTGAAAGACATGTTCATCACACTGTTGGAGTTATGGTTTGGGGTGCTATAGCTTATGGTACCAGGTCACCTTTAATCTTCATCAGAAGTAACATGAACGCGCAGCGTTATATCCACGAAGTTCTAGAACCCCATCTTTTACCCTAGCTTGACACCCTGGCAGATCAAACTTTCCAACAAGATAATGCCCGACCACATGTTGCAAGAGTCACAATAGCCTTCTTTCAACATAATGATGTGACATTGTTACCATGGTCACCAAGATCTCCCGACTTATCCCCAATGGAGCACATGTGGGATATGATGGGTAAGAGATTGCTCAATTTGCAACGTCCTCCTCAGACTCTAGAAGCACTTCGAGAGGAGTTGGTGGTTGCCTGGAATGAGATACCACAGGAGGACATTGACCACCTGATCAGAAGCATGCCCAGGCGCGTTGGAGAATGCGTAGCACATCAGGGTGCATCCACACATTATTAAAGGTCAAAGGGCTTTAAAGCAGTGCCATCATTTTGACATTTTTATCATTTACTTATTATGCTTCATTAAGTACTTATACAAAATTTTATTAAAATAAAACTATTTAAACTGGGTGTTCGGATGTATATGTCACTTAGTATATATGATACTTTCATTGAGAGATTGAACATTTCTTGAATCTTATTGACAAGTTATCAGAAAAAGATTTAATAATGTATTGGGCGACCCCGCAGCTGAATGCACTCTTCACTACAGCTGCTGGACATCTTCCATGATATGACCTCTTCTTGCAATAATTTATTCGCTGACTCCCCAATGTATTTTGCTCCACACTATTGTTAACCTCATCATGAATTAAACTCACTGCATTCGTAATTAAAATGGTCGCGTATGACCTTTTATTGTCCATTATCAACCTTGATAAGAAAAGGCACTCAAGAGCAATAATAACACTTCAACAACACAATATCGAAGAACAGTAAAAAGGGGAGAAAAATACTAAATGGTCACTTGCTGAGTCCCAAAATAGGAAACGATTTACAGGCTAGATCGCTAATCGAAATTCGACTCTGTTATTATACAAATTTACCCTTTCCCTTTCCTCTTTCAAAGTAACGCCGACGACCGCCTAGGGCCAGCCCGCCCTCGTTTCCTTTTCACCCGCCGGTTACCTCAGCAGACGGTGCTCGTAATTGTAGGAGCCCCGTTAAGCGACCATAGTATTACTTCTTCATATTTTCTTTTGTAGATTCATGATGTACCTCACCACTTTCATGAACGCCAATATATTTATAGGTTTCACATGGATCAAGGTAGTCAAATCCTGCACTATTTTCAGCTATTTGAGATCTTTCCTCTAGTAATCGTGATCCTTTTACATTTTTCCACGCTAAACTGCATGCATATGTCCTCACTAAACTCCTTCACAATATCTAGCTCTCTATCTATCTAATAAGCAAATAACTATTCAATATTCGAAACCAGATGCCACGCTTTCAACGAAAGCAATGACAGTTTGTTCAAAAACTAAAATAACTTGTAACAGGAGGCTGGCCTGGGCACGTGACAACAGTTCCGAAACAACTGCACTAGTCCATGCGGCCATGCCAGGTTTGTTCGACATAATGTTAATTCAAAACAAATTAGATGAAAATCACTTTCCCGGTATGGAGCTGTGGATCTGTGAAATTTTGTTTTAATAGATTTACACTCGGGTTCAAAATAAACGCAACAAGCAAAATTATGGTCAAATTCGGGACGGCATAACTTTTTTACCTTTACCTCGATTTTTTTGCAAGAGGTATGTACACTCATTGGCATTAAAGTTTAGATATTATGATCGTTCATGAGTATACATCACACCGACTAGCGGGTTGATGTTAGTTTAAGTTTCTAGGGTTGAACATCTGTGAAAATTTTTTGAGTCTCTACTTTGTCATGTGAAGTGTGCATGTGCGTGAATTATTGAATAGTTCAGCTGTTTTCGAACCTGTAGCACCTTGCAGGATTCTTTTTCCTTATTACCTGTGCGGTAAGACTCTTAATCGCCCAACACGTAGATTCAGTTTTGCACATGTATTTTTGTACTGTGGATGTGGATATTAAAGTCTCTATTTTTACTCTCCGTCTTCTTTATCTATTCGATCTCTACGCTCCGCTACGTACAGTACGTGTCACAAAACCTGCTGCGCCCTGGCTCACTCCTAACTTGAAAATGATTTTTCAACTCAGAGATGAGGCATGCGCTGTCTATCAGCATAATAGATCTGATCAGAATTGGGCCAGCTACAAAGATTTGAGAAATTATGCCCTTGCATCGCTTAGAAGAGAGAAAAAGCATATATGTCACGTTTCCGGAATCTTAACTCTAGTCAAAGGAAACACCTGAGGAGGATGAATGTGGTAGCCCAGAAACATGTTGCAATACCTCCCAGTCTCCTTGAGCCTAACATTTTAAATAATTATTTTCTTTCAATTTTCCAGACAGCTGCAGCTGATCCAAATTTGATTGATAGTGTCTCTATCTCTTATAGCGATAGACGCCATACACCGGATGCACCTCTGTTTGCTTTTAAACTCCTTACTCAGCAAGACATCGTCAATATAATCTCTCACATTAAGTCTACGGCATGTGGCTCTGATGGTCTAACTTTAAATATGGTTTGCTCATGTTTGCCTGATACCATAGACCATATAACTCACATTATTAATGTCTGTCTCGAAACAGGTTACTTTCCTGCCAGTTGGAAGAATGGTATTATTATTCCAATAGCTAAAACTAATCATCCAGAACAATATTCGGATCTCAGGCCAATTACCTTATTATGCTTTCTATCAAAAATACTCGAAAGAGCTGTCTACTCACAACTAGTGGAGTTTTTCGAACAAAATAACTTATTTCCTCTACATCAGTCAGGTTTCAGAGCTGATTACTTCGTCTTTATTACATCTTACTGATTCCATCATTTGCAATTTAGACAATCACATCAACACCGGTACTGTTACATGTCTCGAAAGCCTTTGATATGGTCAATCACCAGATACTACTGAGTAAGTTATCTCATTATGGAATGTCAGATATAGTTCTAAGGTTCTTTGAGTCATACTTGCTAAATCGTCAACAAACAGTGAAAACTGATCAGGGAATTTCCTCCTCTGAGCCAGTTCCTTCAGGAGTTCCCCAGGGCTCAGTATTAGGTCGCTTACTATATCTGATTTATACGATCGATCTGCAAGACTGTTTAGTCCACTGTAGTATGCAAACTTATGCAGATGATACTCAGTTAGTGTTTGGTTTCGATCCATCACAGGTTGATGAAGTTTCTTTTAAAGTTAATTTAGATTTGGCTAACATCGGTGATTACTGTAACAAACACTACTTGAAGATCAATCCCAATAAAACTACTGCAATGTTGTACTGTTCGAAGAACTCCTACCGTGAAATGAAGCAGAAGATTTGTGTTTTTTTGGATGAGACACTCATCCCTTTTGTGGATTACGCCGAGAATCTCGGTGTTACCCTTGATTTAAATATGAGATTCGATCGGCATGTCTCTTTCTTATCTAGAGTAACGTATTTGCGTTTGAAACTCCTCTATTCTAATCGATACATCTTGAATTTTAAAACCCGAAAAAAGCTCTCTGAAAGTCTTGTGTTGTCTGTCATTTCTTACTCTCTTGTTCTGTATTACCCATGTTTAGGCTACGTCCACAAAAGGAAACTCCAGAAAATTCAGAACAGCTGTTGTAGGTTTATTTTTGGATTGCGCAAGTTTAGTCGCGTCTCAGATAAAATCAAAGAACTCAACTGGTTGCGAATTGATAAGATATTTTTATATCTTTTGACCGTCTTCACGCATAAAGTTCTACTATCTAACAGGCCAGCTTACCTCGCTAGCAAATTAGTTCACCGAGATAGTTTTGTTACCAGAGCTCTCAGATTT